TATATATATATATATATATATATATATATATATATATATAAATAAATGTTTCCAGCTAATCAAGAAGCTCGCATCGAAAGAATATGCCCGAGAAATGCGACAAAGGATCGACGATTACCAGACATTTAAACCTATTCATTACGGAATAAAAACATTCCTTTCAACGGACGAAGGTGCTTCTCATCTGTCCATATTTGCCCCAAATGGTGATGTAGTAGGAGTGTCTACTTCCATCAACTCCCAGTAAGACACTTTCATATAATATTATCATAGAGTTGAATAGTAATAGTAATTCCGAAGAGGCCTTTCGCCTAATACCAAAGATCATCAGGCCAGCCGGATGTAACAAACATAGTAGTGGTCTAGGCACCGTATCACCGGTTTCATGAACAGTGGTGTTGTTGTAGTAATAGTGATGTCTAATCATAATTAAATGTTTTAAGTCTTTTACAAAGCGGAATTAGTGCGAGAATAACACGTTATTGCGAACGTATTTTTAGTACAGATTATATACCCGTTACTATTTTTACTCGATTTAATTTTAATGTCATTCAAAAGAAGTGACCTTTAAGGTCACGAGTCATTCCGGAATAGTCTAAAACCGGATTAAAATATACGTGACAATACACACAACATTGTTGCGAAAACTGGAGAGAATGTGGAAAATGATGTACAAAATGACAATGTGTAATGAGTCTGTTCACACTGGAGCTTTTCGGTTCGTTTGGAGAACTGTGTGAATAAAACAGTTGGAATGGCAAACGAACCGAACTGAGGCCGTTTGAAACGATCCCATTGTGAATACTGCCCATGATAGATTGTTCAGTTGTTAAGAGGGGATGAGCTGCCAACGTGATAGATTGTTCAGTTGTAAAGAGGGGGTGAGCTGCCAACGTGATAGATTGTTCAGTTGTAAAGAGGGGGTGAGCTGCCAACGTGATAGATTGTTCAGTTGTAAAGAGGGGGTGAGCTGCCAACGTGATAGATTGTTCAGTTGTAAAGAGGGGGTGAGCTGCCAACATGAGAGATTGTTCAGTTGTAAAGAGGGGATGAGCTGCCAACGTGATAGATTGTTCAGTTGTTAAGAGGGGATGAGCCGCCAACGTGATAGATTGTTCAGTTGTAAAGAGGGGGGTGAGCCGCCAACGTGATAGATTGTTCAGTTGTTAAGAGGGGATGAGCCGCCAACGTGATAGATTGTTCAGTTGTAAAGAGGGGGGTGAGCCGCCAACGTGATAGATTGTTCAGTTGTAAGAGGGGGTGAGCTGCCAACACTTCTACAGTATCAGCATTAGGTCACTAGTGAATGTCAAAACGGATACTTCTTTATGGTAAAAATGGGCTTAACAGTGTTGTGATAGCTACTGCCCTTGATAGTAAGCATCGTGACAGTGGTTACTAGATTATAATGGAATAATTCCTGCAGACCGACCGTAAGTGTGTTTAAGAACCCTCTGTCGGTCCAAAGATGCATGGTAGAGTGTTCCTGTCACACTCTGTACTCCAGTTTTCGCGATTCTCCGAAGACGTTTATGCGAATTATGAATCATCCTGTAGTATTAAGATAGAACCACATGTTTAATGTATCGGTGTAGTATCTTAAATTAAGGCAACGTGTAAAGAAGGATACTACAAACATTATAAACAACGTTTCATGTTTGTTTTCCGACTTATAAGTGTTACAGCATTATAAGAAGATAACAGCTAAAACGTTTAATGTTTTAGTGAAGATTTACATTTAAAGATAAGCTCCACAATACTTGTAGTATATTAACACTATACGTATTTGTTTGACAGAACACTTAAACTATATTAACACTATATGTATTTGTTTCACACAATACTATATTATCTCAATACCTATTTGTTTCACACAATACTATATTATCTCAATACCTATTTGTTTCACACAATACTATATTATCTCAATACCTATTTGTTTC